TAAAATTTTGTAGTTACCTTTAAAATAATTTTCATATCTTTGTTAGGATTTATTCCTTTGTATATATTTGGTTCCTAATATAAATGATATGTTAAAATCATATTTTCTGTAGAAATGGAATTGATTTTTGTACATTGATTTTTTTTATCAAGCAACTCTGCTAAATTAACTCATTACTTCTAATAATTTATCTGAATACACTGAGGGGTTCATTACATGCATTAATCATCACGTACACATCTATAAAAGTTTTTTTTCTAGTTTTTTAAAAATGCATTTTATCACTTCTTATCTTCCCACACTGACTTGCAGTGCGGTGTTGAATAAAGTGATGATGACAAGTACCCTTGTCTCGTTCCTGATCTTAAAGGGAACACTTTCAATGTTTCACAACTAAGTATAATATTTTCTGTGAGTTTCTTGTGTGCTCTCTTTATCTGATTAAAGAATTGGCCTTCTGTTGCTTAATTTAGTAAGAGGATTTAGCATAAATGGATATAAAATTTTATCAATTGTTTTTTTAAACTCCATTAAGATAATTCTGTTTTCTTCCTCAATATTAAAGTGGTGAATATATTATTTTATTTCTGATATTAGAACAGCCTAGCATTACTGAGAGAAGTCCAAACCAAAGTGTTATCCTTTTCAATGTATGCATTTGTTGATTTTTTTTGCCTTTTTTTTTTAATACTGGTGCATCTATGCTTCTGATTGAGATTGGCTTTCAATTTTTGTTATACTGCCTTTGTCTGATTTTTGCTCTGTGGTTTCACTAGCTCCATAAAATGAGTTAGGAAGTAATCCAATTTCTTGTTTATTCCCTGGAAGACTTGATGTAAGATTGAAATTTTCTGATCCTTAAAGGTTTGATTTAAATCTCCTATTGAACCATCAGGGCTTAGTGTTTTCTTTGTGGGAAGATTTGTGTATATGTGTGTGTGTGTGTGTGTGTGTGTGTGTGCGTGTGTGGCCCTCGCCGGCGGCTGTGGAACGAACCAGCGCTGCAGAGGCTGCGGGCAGCCTCACAGCCCAGTGCTCAAATGCTGCACCTTTGTGGAAGATTTTTACCTATAATTTCTCTAATGGTTGTAGGGATATTAAAGTTTTCTATTCCTTTGTAAGTCATACCTGTCTAGGAATATATCCATTTCATGTAAACCTTCAAATTATTGTCATACAACTTATAATATGCCCTTAATTTTTAATTTTTCCAAAATCTATGGTTATGTCTCTCTTCTCATTCTTGTTCATTTTTTTTTAATGCTTTCTGACTTCTTTAATTGATTAATCTTGTCAGAGGTTTTTTGTTTGTTTGTTTTTTTTTCCCCCAAAGATTTATTTATTTATTTATACAAGCACTGGGTACAGTCAGAAGCGCAGTAGGGCGAGAGAATTCACCAGAGTCAGAGCGGAGAGCAGAGCAGGCAGACTGATGAAGTACACTGCTGAGGGGAGCAGCGGGCAGCAGGAGAGTTCTGCGTCCCATGTGGGACCCTCACCTGGTGGCCAGGGATCGAACCAGCGGGCAGAGTCTGTGGGCAGCTTCTCAACCCTGCGCTCAACCCCTGTGCCACCATGGAGGCCCTTGTCAGAGATTTGTAAAGAACAATCTTATGAACTCAGTTGATCCTGTATTATAATTTTATTTCTATTTGAATAATTTATTCTTTCATGTTTATTTTTTCCTTCTACTTTCTTTGGCTAACTTAAGATGGATGCTTTGGTTATTCATTTTCAGTCCTCTGTCCTTGTGAATATAACATTGAAAGTTATAAATGACCCTTTAAGTACAACTTTTCCTATACTCAAAGCCTCCATTGACAATATTTTCATTATGGTTAGTTCTAACTATGTTTAATATTCATTTTGTGTGTGTGTGTGTGTGTGTGTGTGTGTGTATAAAATATTTATACAGGGCCTACCTGGTGATGCAAGGGTTAAAGTCAATGCTATTGAGCTATTGGCAGCCACTGTGGCATGAGTTCAGTCCCCAGCCAGGGAGCTACCCACATGGTACAGCAGATCTCCCCTGTCTCCTCTGCTGCTCCCCTCAGCTTCAGTAGATTTGTCTGTTCTGCTCTCCACTCTGTCTCTGCTTAATACTGTTAACCTGCCGCACCTCTGGCCTACACCCCACTTCTTGTATGCATAAATAAAAATAAATTAGAAAAATAAAATATTCACACATAGGATTCTTCTAGTTATATTTCTGTTTTTAATTTCTTTTTTTAAAAGATTTATTTATTTATGCATATAAAAACTGGGGTACAGGCCAGAGTTGTGGGGGATGAGAGGATTCACCAGAGACAGAGTGGGAAACAGAACAGGCTGATTGACCCAAGTACACTGCTGAGGGGAGCAGTGGACGAGTCAGGAGAGGTCTGCTGTGCCATGTAGATATCTCCCTGGCTGGCCAGGAATCAAACTTGCACTGCGGAGACTGCACACAGCTTCACAGTGCTGCACTCAACCCGTTGTGCCACCGGAGAGAGGCCCACTTTTTTCATATATTTTAAGGTTATGTTATATGAGTTTCTTCCTGTGGCTTACAGGATACCTCACATTTTTTATTTTCCTTCTGTCTTGCTGGCTATGCCTCCTTGTTCTCCTTGACTGGGTTCATCTCCTCATCTAGACCTCAAAATATTAGAATTCCTGAAACCCTAGTCGTGGGCTTTCTCCTCCATCTAAATGTATATTCTGAGTGGTAAGTAGCCCACCATTTCAAACATATCTGTGTGCTGATCACTACCAAATTTATATTTTCTGCCCCATCTCTCAGGACCTCTAGACTTACACTAAATTCCCTCACATATACCTCCCTTCATGTTCAGTGTCTGTGTGGAATCTCAAACCTAAACATTTTAAAAGTTTTATAACTTTTCCTCTCCCTCTACTGCCCCCACCCTGACAAAGATTAGTCTTTGCTAATTTCTCCCCATCTTTTTAAGTGGCACCATCACTTACCTCTTATTAGGAGTCATTATTGACTTCTCATTCCCTCACATCTCTCTTCAGTGGGTCCTATTGACCCCCTATAGGACCTTCTTCAGTGGGTCCTATTGACTCCATATGCAAAGTTATCTTCAATCTAACCCCTCTTCATGTGAACCATCCAGGTTAAAGCCAACATCTTCTGTCACCTGGACAATCACTGTAGTTCCTAATGTCCTCCTGGCTCCTGTTCTTATCTCCCCTTCACCAATGCCACTATCACCAACATCATCACCACCACCTCCAGCTAAAACCTATTCTAGATACAGGTCTTGTTGAGAATATGTCAAACATGCCACTCGCTGACTTACAATTTTCATGCTTAGAATAAATTTGTACTTCTTACCATGGCCTATAAGAACCTATAGTGTCTGGCCCCTCATTAATTCTCTGACCTCTTCTCTCTGCATACTACCTCCTATCCCCCTTATGCTTCTGCCCTTACTTTCTCCCTTTTCCTCAAACATATCAAACTTAATCCAGTCTTATTTCCTTTACTCATGCGGCTCTTTTTACTTGGAAAGCGCTTTTCCCATATCTTTCTATTACTCCATCCACATCATTCTAGTTATCACCTCCAACAATAGAAAGGCCTTCACTGACCACTCCATAGAAAATAGTCCTATCCTAACTTTCTATTCCCTTATCTCATAATGCTGATCACTATGTGAAACTATGCAATTTATTTTATTGATTTTTTTTCCCTTTTTATTTTTCCCACTAGAATATAAGCTTCATAAAGGCTTATTTTTCATTCTATCCTCAGAACCTGGAAACATACAAGGGCTCATTTATTAGCTATATCATAGGCTGTGTATGTTTTCTAACATTCCTGTTTTTTACTAGATGTTAGTGCTACTTTCAATTTTATCTGTTACTTGATATGATGTGATAGGTTTTAACAGATGGTTAATAAATATTTTTAAATACTGATTCTCACTTACCCTCACAATAAGCAGCAATAATTTTTCTAATCTTATAGCTGAAGAAATTGAAACAGAGATATGAAATGACTTGGCCATTGTTACACACATAAAACATGACAATATTAGGATGAAATGTGTATGAGTTTAGAGGACAGTGTTGTTTCTTATTTTCAGTATTTTTAACTTTCACTTTGAAATAATTTCTGATACACAAAACAAAAATGAGTTGCAAATGTACTACAAAAAGTTCAACTTTACCTTCCCTCAACTTTCCTGAATAATAATATCTTACATAACTATCATAATTATCAAAACACTAGTACAATTATCAAGATGTTAATAATGATATAGGACTAGTAACTAATCTCCAGACCTTTTGCAAGTTTACCTGTTATCTCACTAGTGTGTCATGTCTCCTGAGTCTCCTCATCTTAGAGGTATCAGTATGTCCTTCAAGATTTTGACATTCCTGAAGAGGACCATATCCTTAACATCAGGATATAGTCTATATAGACTGCAGAGTACATGAAAATTTACCACAATGCAAGTATCCTCTGCTTCCTAAAAGTTTGCCCTATAACACTTCATTTTTATAAATGACCTACATTAGTACCTGTTTTCATTAACTGAAAGAAATCCAAAGAGGATTTTCACTTTTACCACAAAAGGCAAAAAGCATAAATAGTGTACAGCATTTGTTTTGCAGCAGCCATTCTAGAGACAGCATATATTCTCATGGCACTGCCAAACCCTTTCCCTGGAACTACTTTCTATATAGGCTGTGTTTTTTCTAGCATTCTTGTTTGCACTAGATGTTAGTGCTACTTTTGGTTTTATCTGTTACTTGATATCATATGATAGGTTATTTCTTGGGTCTGAGAATACATGAATATTTTTTGCATGTAAATTAATGGTAATTGCTTCCTGAGTTTATGCCCTTTAGGAAGATTTCATAGGAGTGCTCTACTTCTAGATAGTGGGGAAAACTCGTAGCAGCTTTTATTGTTGGGTAATTAAATAAATGTTCTTCTTGAGGAGTAGAAAGAGAGTGGTTCCTCACATTGTGTTTGTTTTGCTTAGCTTGGCTGACCTTGAAGTGTGTATAAAAAATAGTGAGAGCGGTTTGCTCAAGAAAGTTGAAAAAGGAGATTTCAAAGGATTGGTTGAGATCATGGGACACCTTATGGCTCTTAAAGAGCGACAGAGCAGCACTGATGAGATGTTTGAGCCTTTAAAGCAAACTATTGAATTGCTGAAGACCTATGAACAAGAATTACCAGAAACAGTGTTTAAGCAGCTGGAGGTCAGTACAAAGTTTGTGTTTTCTTTATAAAAGAAATAGAATGTTTTCAGATTTCAGAGTGGAGTTAAGTGGATTGAAGTAATTGAAAAACAGAATGTGGTGATGGCCCAGGCCCATGTTTTAGTACTGTATGTGTTGTATTTAATAATATCCACCACATTCTGGAAACTCAATAAATACAAGACAAGATAATACTGGAGATAATATGGGAGAACTGATATGGATTAAATGTTTAGATTTTTTTCAAGCAAAATTAAAAGGAGTCTACTTTTTTGAGAGAAAATAATCAGGACTGAAGAATATCAAAATGGTCTATGAGGAAATGTGTGATATAAAAGAAATAACCAGGCACTCTTGGAAAATAAAGAGTAATGTTACCAACCTAGAGACTGAGGATAATAAAGGGTTGTGTTGAGTCAGTATGTGATAGTTGGGAGAAGGGGTGAGCAGGGAGATAAGTCAAGGAAAGCGTGTTGTAGAGAATTGGCAAAGGATACCACCACTCATAGCATGACAGTGTATGGAGATGAAGACACCTGGGTATGTCCAGGTGACTGTGGGGAAGGGGAGCACAATATGCGTCTCATCACTTGGAGGTCTTCTTTGCAGGAGCTGCCTGAAAAATGGAACAACATAAAAAAGATGGCCATAACCGTGAGGCAGCAGGTGGCCCCACTGCAGGCAAATGAAGTTACCATCCTCCGCCAGAGGTGCACAGCCTTTGATACTGAACAGCAACAGTTCTGGGAGCGATTCCACAAAGAGGCTCCCTTCAGGTATGGACCCAGTCACCACTTCTGCTTCCTTTCCTTTAAACATGGCAATCTTTGAGTTACTGATGATGATCTATCCATTGAGTTTGTCTATTCTTTCAGCAGATGGAGACAAGACAATACTCTTCCCTACTAATGGTTAGAATGTGGTACTAGTGTGGGCTGTCTTATCAGGATGAGATGATGAGTATTGGTAACCAAATATTATACAAACACCCTGCCTTAGAAACAAGTCTAGAAGTTTCTATGTCTCCAGGTCTATAAAGGGATTATAGGTGATAAAATTACTAAGCATTTATTAAACTACTAGTATTCAAAATTCTCCCAGAATCTTTTTGGCTTAAAAAAAAATATTGATGGGCCCTCCCTGTTGGCGCAGGCAGTTGAGCGCCATACTGTGAAGCTGTCCGCAGCCTCTGCAGCGCAGGTTCAATCCCAACTGGCCAGTGAGAATCCCACATGGCATGGCAGATCTCTCCTCTTTTGGACCCTGCTTCCCTCAGCACTGTATTTCCGTCAGTCTGCCTGTTCTGTTCCTCACACTGTCTCTGGTGAATCTCCCACCTTCCTGCGCATCTGCCCTGTACCCCGGTTCTTGTATAAATAAATAAATCTTTAAAAAAATTGTTGATGGAATTTAAAATAAGTTTGGAAGGTGTTTTAGCAACATAAAGAAGGCATTTGAGTGGGGGCTTTACTGCAAAGGTGCTTTCTTTGCTTAGTAATGCTCTGATACCTCCCTACTTATTATTAAGGGTCTTTATGGAAACAAAGCAACTATAGACTGAAGAATACCATTCATGTGTGCCCACATGTGTGGGTTCCTTTATCACGGGCTACCTCCCTTGATGGGGAATTCTACCAGCACTCTCATCCTGGTTCACTGCTCAGCATTGGAGACTCCAACCAGGAAAACAGTTGGTTCTGATTGGTCCTGTGTCTGCTGATGTGCTGCTGAAATGGGCACTCTCCCCTCATTCCAGTTCTAGGACTTGCTTTCTGTCTCCCTACCTGAGCTTCTCACTAGGTCACTTATATAGTTTTGGAGAGATAAATTTGGAGGTCTTCAACTGGAAAATGTCCTACATAAGGATTGAGGAAATCTTTCCCGTTTAAAAGTTATCCACAGAAATATTACATTGGAGATATTCATTAAAGCAATGAACAAAAAAAAAAAAAACTCACAGCTTCATTGAAAGGAAATATATTTAACATAATGATTAAGTACATGGACTTGGGATTCAGGCTGCCTAAAGCCTAATCTCAGGTCTACAATTTTTGTCTATGAAAGGGAAGCTACTCAATATCTCTGTGCTTCAATTTTCTCATCTCTAAAATAGGGCTGATAATAGTATCCATTGCAAAAGTTTGTTGATAGGATTTAAAAATAACATTTGTAAGTATTTAGTATCTGACACTAGAGTGACCAACCATTTTGGTTTTCCTGGAACTATTTTGGTTTGTCAGCATTACAAGTCCCAAATCCAGGAAAGTCCCTCTGTTTTGGGCAAACTGGGATTATTGGTCACTCAAGGTGACATACAATGCAGGTCTACCTATTACTATTATTCATTTGTCAATCATTTATTACATAGCTGTTATTTCCCAAACATTGTACTTGGGGCTAGAGAGAACAAGATAAGAATGTTAAGGGCCTTCCTGGTGGTGCAAGGGGTTAAGTCTCAGCACTGTCAAGATATCAGCAGCCACTTCAACACAAGTTCAATCCCCGGCCAGGTAGCTAACCCACATGGTGTAGCAGACCTCTCCTGTCTCACCCACTGCTCCCCTTAGCAGTGTATTTCAGTAGATCCACTTATTCTTCCCCACTATGTCTCTGCTGAATCCTCTTACCCGCTCCAGCTGCACTTCTGGTCTATACCCCAGCTCCTGTATGCATAAATAAATAAAATATATCTTTTTAAAAAAAGATGAAAATGTTAAGAGGCAAGGAAGGACAGAAATGTAAACTATGTATGTATATGTATATATAAATATCAATACACATAGTGTATGTGTGTGTGTGTGTGTATATATATATATATATATATATATATATCATATGACTCTAAAGCAGTGTGCCACCATTCTGGCTGCACTTGAGGATCACTTTGGGAGTATTTAAAACTTCTAATGTCTAGTCAGTCCCATAGCCCCGTTAAATCAGACTCTCTGGGGTTGATACCTGAGCATTTGTATGTTATAAAACTCCCAGGTGATTCCAGTGTGCAGCTAAGTTTGACTGCTGCCCTGAGATGAGGTAACTGGTTCCTTTTAAATAATCATTCCAGGGCATATAACTCCAAATGAGTCTTTATCTCTTTAGAATTATTGCCTATGGCTACACCCTTGCTTCAAAGAAACATCTATTTCTTAAAACACTACTGAAATTCCTTTCCTACCAATTCTTTCAGAGTCTAAATACATTCTATTGACTTTTTCTTAGGCATGCAATTGGATGATTGAAATTCAAGACTGATCATGCAGAGCCAAAGCTGGTAAAAGATGTGGGCTATCAAACTGGGTAATATGGCTTAATGTTAATAACAACCCAGCAATGGCAGCAGACATAAAGATAATGATACTAATATCTTTGCATCAGCTATCTCTTAAAATTTCAAAAATATTCCGTGAAATATATTCCCAAACAGACTACTGAGACTGCATGAAAGTAAACAATAATACTCATTGGCTGATGTGTTTTTGTATGTCTATTTATTGGAAATCTGATAACCCTTCTTCATAGTTACACCACTTGTGTGCATTGATCAGCTGTTGTTGTTTTTTAATTTCATAGCTGCTTTGCTCTTTTCTTTCTTAGTACTTGTATCTGTAGGCTGTGAAGATATCGCTACTCTTAGCTGGGTTTTCTAAATTCACATCTGTTAATTTGACATGCAGATGAATCTCTACAAGGAATATGAAAAGAACTGCTCACAGCAGTGTAGAAAACCAAGCATTGCAGCAATTTTGATGTATTTCTCTCCTTGTCAAGAAAACTATCAAAACTGGAACTGGATTGTGGATTTATTGCTGAAGGAATTTTAGTGGGAGTGAACTCATGTGTTTTGTTTTGTTTCTCAGTGTAGTGTGCGTTTAAAAAATTTAGGTGCTGTATGTGGCAAATGAGTTTAATTCTGGGTCCATCACTTTTAGATAATATGCAGTTATAAAATGTTGACCCTGCTACAATACTCTGTGAATGTGAATTTCTGTTCCTGATTAGACTATAGGTTAAGCTCACATTGATCTTGTCTTTAAGGAAGGAAAAGAAAGTGAGCAGCATTTGTGTGCAGTCATTAAGCACTTAAGCTCTTGAAGTCTGACAGGTGCAGGGTAAAGTCAAGTTGCTTGGGTTAAGGTTCTTTCTTCATGTCCTGGTCAAGTTTTACATCCTCCTGCAGTTCTTAACTTTAAGCCATATCAGCACATTCCTAGCTGAGCTCTCACACTTCTCAGTAATTGGCTAAATCATCATATTTAGACTCAAGGACTTTCCACAATTCTTAAAATTACAGATTAATTCTCCCCTTGAATAAAAGGAATGTTCTAAATTTCTAGTAGCATTATCTTGTTTGGTCTTTTTGACCTTGAAAATAGTCTTCCTCACCTTAAGTACAGTCTTTCTGACTTAAGGAATGATGCCACTATATACAACCTTAGCCACATCAAGATGAAGGTAATCCAGAGGTTTCTCGGCCAAAACAGTTAATCACTATGAGCTCAAGATGCGAGAAAATCATTAATGGTTTTGAACCATTGACAACAAGATTCTATGAAAAGTTGAAAGAGCCTTCTGGAAGACACCCTATCGGGTGCTATCTACATGACAACTAGAGAAGGCAAGGGTTCCACAATATCCCAATGCAGCAGACATAAAAGCCATTCTTTCTTACACAGTATCTGTTGTAGCTTCAATTGCTGGAGAAGAGAGTTGTATTAGTCATTAAATCTCCCAGAGACATACCACTATCCTAAGATGTATCATTAGTTCAACATGACCCTGTTCTTAAGCTAATCTGACTCATTCATGATTCAGGCATCCATGGCATAGAAGAAGTTGTGGTCTCAGCAGCAGAATTAGAGATTCTATTTTTTCATTACTATTTCAATTTTAAAAATGAGATGTTCTAGGATTTTAAAATAAAATACATTCCGGGACTCAAGAACTTAGAGCCTTGGATACACTTTCAAAGATGAGTGATAATACCTGTGCATTGGGCATTAACTTTAATGCCCACTGAGAAGATAGTTTGCACCCTCTGTAGAAGATGACAATGGGAAAATAAGAATAAGACATTTGAGGAAAAAATGAAGTGAAGATATTCTAGGCAGAGGAAGCAGAGCGTGCAAAGTTGCAGAAGGATGGAAATGGGATAAACACCTGGAGAAAAGCATGGGTATATGGTTGGGGTGCTGGAAGTGGAGATGAGAATGAAGAGGTCCATGTGACCAGGTTTTGACCATGATCAGCCACGGAGGTTAAACATGAGAACTACATAATGTCAATACCATTCTCTTGTGGCTGCAGAGAACACAGTGTTGTGAGACAGCCTCAAGACCAGGTTTTCCAGGGAACAGTGATTACGAGAGCTCAGGTGAAAAGCTGTAGGACTGAACTAAAGCAGTGGCCATGAGAATGGAGAGAGGAAAATGGATCTGAGACAGACTTGGGAGGGAGAATAAGAAAGATTGAATATGGGAAATAAGGGGAGAGGAGATTCTAGAATAATTTTCTGTTTTGATCAAGTAGATGAAGGTGGTCCTGTGTCACTGATGACTGAAATGGGAATCACAAAAATTGGAAAGACCTAAGGATCACAAGTTCCAGTGGCTATATTAACTTTTATGATACCTGTGTTGTATCAAGTGGAGGTTTGTCATTATTCATTACACAGACAGCCCTGGTACTGAGGTTAACATTGGTGGCTAGTTTCCTAAGAATCAATTTAATCAATCTTCCCCTCTCTCTTTTTCTTTGCTCATGTCTGGGTCATGCCTGAAGCAATTACTTTTCCAAGATCATATATATGTGGACTGCATTTCTACTTCTCTTAATTATGGTTTTATTCATCCAGACTTTCCAGGAATTTCTCTTTTAGATTAAAATACTTTTGCATTTCTATTTCAATTTCAGAGACTTACTACACCCCTTTCCCTCCTATTACTTTCTTGTTCTTATACTGTATTGTTCCCACAAGGTTTTGAGAACTGCTTCAAGTTTATTAGGCACATAAATCAGATCTATGAATATTCTGACAATTTGTACTAGAGATTTTAAATGAGAAGAGGGTTACCTGTCCTCATGTCTAGAGGTTCCTTTCACCACTTCAGCCCAATTAACTCTGATGTGTGCTCAACTATAGGTAATTACTGTCAACAAATTGAACTATAAACTATAAACAAAAATTATGCCACAGGGTAAAGTTTGGAGTAGGTTTAATAAATGATAACCTTTTACAAATATTTGAAGAAATCATATTGATTTAAGGATGTTCATATGTGCTAAGGAAAGAATAGTTAGAATCATTTATTATCCTCTGTGCACATCCCCCAAACATTCTATAGCTCATCTGACCTACTCAATTATTCCTGAATTATACTCCATAATAATGCAAAGAGAATGTGGATTTTTAGAATTTGTCTGAATTTTATAGATCTTTTGCTATCATCAAGACACTATGTTTACTTTTCAAGTTCACTCTAGTTCAGATAAAAAGGAGAACCTACATACTCCAACGATTAGTCTTCGGAAATGAAGAGTAAGCAGGAAGACCATTCATGGTTGGCAATCTTTCTTGCTGGACCCCTTGCTAAACAGATGTTACATTTCTTTCCTTCTAGTTCTTTTTCCACTGTACTCATGTGGGGGAAAAGCTCTTTATATATACAGACAAAGGGCCTTTTTGAACTCTGAGAATTCCAATATCACGGTCCATTCTGAAACACTCGAGAACTAGAGTATAGTGAAGACATGCAACGATGTTTACTCTCATTAACTTAAGATGTAAATTCGCAGCGAGAGCACATAAGCCAAAAACATTTAGATGGAACGAGTGGGAATCAAACATAGCAAGCATCAAAGTTAATCTGACACTAATTTAATAGCACGCATAACTGTTATTGTGTTGCCTGGTAATTAGGCTTAAGTGGCAAGCAGTTCAGGTAAATGACTTTAATTACAGTTACTTTCCACCTATCAAGTCAAATATTCCTAATGACAACTGAGCGAATAAGCATTTATACCTTCCCTCCATACCTCCCCTCTATGCCCTACCAACCAACATGCACATGAGCACTAGTCTGAAGGAAAGGGCCAATACTCATGTCACTCATTTCCTCTCACCTTTCCCCTTGATTGATAATGAATCCTGTGATGCCTTGTTCTGACTTTCAAGAAACATATATTCACCCTAAAGTCATGGTACCTCCAATATCAAGCCCTCCAAGCACACAGAAATAAGAAAATCTGAGAGTGGTCAGGAGGAGAAAGCCTAAAGGGAGGCGATGGGAGGAAAATGGGAAGCTCCTTGAACACTTGGGTTAAGGGTGCTACTGATCAAAGAAATGTTATCTTCCCATGTGGGATCCTTTGCATAGAGAGACCTTACATCGGAGGAAAGGCTGTGTCAGGAGAAGTCAGGTGGTGGAACGCTGTCAAGTGGGTTACATTGGGGAGGATCAGGAGCAGTGGATGTAAGCCATAAGCATTGGGGAGAAGAAAATGATAAAGAATTTGGTAAGGGTGTTGCTTTTAGTTTTCAAAGCCCTTGTCAGTGGTCCTCAAACTTGGAGGTACTGTTACCTGAAGCTAATGCCAGTCATTAGTGTGAGCTTCCTCACAGTCAAGGACATCAACCTGCCACATTGATACGACCCAGGAAGTTTGAAAAAAAATGCAGTTCTTCAGTCCTAACTCAGTAATTCTGATTTAATTGGACTCAGGAGCAGACTGGGCATAGAGATCATTTGAAACTCTTAGGAAATTCTCGCATTCAGTCCAGAGAGCAACTGCCCTAAAGTGAAAAATGTCAGATTGGGTCAGAGTTGGATCTAAGTGCCAGCTCCTTCCTTAGACTACCTACCCCTGGTTGCTCCTGTTAGGAGCTTTGGATTTACAAAATTTGCAGCAACATGGCAATGCATTTTTCTCAAATGATCTAGAAACATCAAATGGAAGCATAATCTAAAGGAGGCATGAACAAAGGGGTTTTCCCCTCTGTACCTGAATGGGGTTGAGGGAGGTGGAAGATGCAAGTATTTTACCTTCTTAGATGTGAAGAAACTATCCAAGGAAAGTATTCCTCTTAAATTTCCCCTCCTGCAAGCAATTATATTCACCCCACTCCAACTTATCCTGTATCTTTTTCTCCCCAAGCTTTGTTGAAAGTCACTGTTCTTTGCTGGAATACTAAGCATGTGAAAAGATTTGAACTGGAGTTATTTTGAATGTCCTAAGAAATAGGCCTTTGTAAGCTGTATTTACAAAGGGACTGCATTGTGTTTTGTAGGTTTGATAGCATTGACCCTCATCTAATGCTGGATGCCAGACACCTTGAGATCCAGCAGATGGAATCTACCATGGCCTCCATTTCCGAGTCCGCTGGCTTATTTGAGGTCAATGTTCCTGACTACAAGCAACTGAGGCAGTGTAGGAAGGAGGTCTGCCAGCTGAAGGAGCTATGGGACACAATTGGCATGGTGACCTCCAGTATCCATGCCTGGGAGAGCACCACGTGGAGGGATATCAATGTGGAAACTATGGATTTGGAATGCAAACGGTTTGCCAGGCACATCCGGAACCTCGACAAGGAGGTCAGGGCCTGGGATGCATTCACAGGCCTGGAGAGCACTGTATTGAACACCCTGACTTCCCTGAGGGCAGTGGCTGAGCTCCAGAATCCGGCCATCCGGGAGCGGCATTGGAGGCAGCTGATGCAGGCCACAGGCGTGAGCTTCACTATGGACGAGGGCACCACCCTGGCGCACCTCCTGCAGCTCCAGCTGCACCACTTTGAGGACGAGGTCCGGGGCATTGTGGACAAAGCTGTGAAAGAGATGGGTATGGAGAAGACCTTGAATGAGCTGCAGAACACCTGGGCTGGCATGGAATTCCAGTATGATCCCCACCCGCGGACTAATGTCCCCCTACTGCAGTCTGATGAGGACCTCATTGAGGTTCTGGAGGATAACCAAGTCCAACTGCAGAATCTGATGATGTCTAAGTACATTGCTTTCTTCCTGGAGGAAGTGTCGGGCTGGCAGAAGAAGCTGTCCACTGCTGATGCTGTCATCTCTATCTGGTTTGATGTACAGCGCACATGGTCTCATCTGGAAAGTATATTTATTGGATCTGAAGATATCCGGGCTCAACTACCCCAGGTACTTGCTAAGGAAATCCTGTTTGCCCCTTTTCCTATCTGAGCCAAGGGATAACCACCCACTCCTTGTATTCTCTAGACACCACCCATTTCCACCCCCAGCCTGCCTGCTGTGGCTCTACTCAAGGGCACCTCCAACAAATGTTGACCTTACAAGCCACCAAAAGTCAAGTAAAAGAAAAGAGAAAAGGTGAAATGCACACCAATCAGTTTTTCCCTAGATGAGTAGGAAAAAGAAAGTAGAAACTGGTTTAAAAAATAAATGTACATGGCAGGGAGATTGAAAGCATTAGCTATTGCAATTTAGGATGAGCTGTTCATGTTTGCTCCATAGATAATTACAATACAGGTAGCAATGGGAAGTGGGCATTATTTCCAGGTGAATTCAAATTCCTTCTCACCCTTGAGTCTTTCAGTAAACCTTTAACCTGTGCCAAAATGCTAAATACTGGTCTTCAGCTAAATACTCAACAATGAATTTCTCAGAAATATGTGTTTTTCTCATTACTACCTTCCCTGTGGTTGATTGTCCCTTCTAATTTGTCCTAATTAACATGCTATTAACTTATATCCCCCCGTCAGTGAGCTCTAATTCATTAAAATTTTTTCTTCTTCTTTTTTTTTTTTGCAGACTTCCTCTGTATCCTTTCAGCACAGCAAATTCTTTGTTTACAAACCAATTTGATTCTAAATTGTCACATGTTGTCCAGGCCTGTTTAAAAGTTAAAACACATTCCATCAAAATATTTTATTTTTCCACCTTTCTATCCCACAAAAGCATATTCAATGTGATGATGCAGTTTAGAAGTTGTATATTTGCAATGGAAAAAAACAGTAAAAATAGTTACAGTTTTGTAATTAAGTCAAACTGAATAAATCATTTTTTATTTTTCTCAAATGCTAATGATTGAAAAAGGTTTAATTGAAAAAGGTTTAATGATTGAAAAGGTTTAATTAGAGGAAGCCAACACATAGATGGAGACCTTTGTAGAGACTTTAAAGAACTTATAAAAATATTTAAAGACTATTTGAGAACTTTCAATTAAATATTATAACATATTAGTATCGTTAACTTCTCAACAATGCCTACGGTTTGTATGTGAAAAATTTAAATATGTTTTTCCTCTGTTCTAACAATATAGCAGGCAATTCTGAAACATTATTATAACTTACATTCTAACTAGTGACAGTCTTCAGTCATTGTGAATACTTCTCAACTTTTATTCACATATCTGCACATTTTTACATCATTTCTCTCTGTATGATTTCAATTTTCTATTCATCTCTTTTCATTCGAACATTTTTGCCTAATATTTATACTTTTCATTTTTCACTTCATTTTTCACAGTCTTTATATTTCTTCATTTTTCACTGGAGCATAATATCTCATTGAGAAAGCAAAATTTACTTTACCTTGCTTTCCTGTTTTTCAATCTTCTTGGGATAGAGGTGGGATCCCACAGGTCCAGATCAGACTAGCTGGAAAACTCTTAACTCTGTCATTTGCAACCATTGGAACTTGGACAAGATACTTAACCTCTATGTGTCTCAGTTTCCTCATGTGTAGACTGAGACTGACACTACTTCAGGAGCTCATTAGAATAGCGCACGTGAACTTTAATATCATATAGAGACGTTGACATACAATGTTGCACACCTGAAACCTATCTAATGTTATAATGCAGTGCAACTTCAATCAAAAATAATGAATTAGGGCCTCCTGGTGGCATAAGGGGTTGAGACGCAACCTATGAAACTATCCGCAGCCACTGCAACATGAGTTTGATCCCCGGCCAGGGAGATTCTCAAATGGCGCAGCAGATTTCTCCTGACTCGCCTGCTGCTCCCCTCAGCAGTGTATTTTAGTCAGTCTGCCTGTTCTGCTCCCCACTCTGTCTCTGGTGAATCCTCTCACACCCCCACATGTCTGGCCTGTACCCCAGTTCTTGTGTGCATAAATAAATAAATCTTAAAAAGATGAATTAAATTTTAAAACAGTGCATGTAACAATTCCATATAATTGTTGCTATGTAGTAATAATGCCACAAGCTCTTCTCAGGTACCTAAAGCACTGTGCATGTATTATTATCTTAATCGTTTCAACAGCACTGTGATTGTGTGTATGTTTGGGGGAAATGATGACATCTAATTAATGTTGACATAGGGTACGTTTGATGAGGAAAAACTTACTGTGGTTATATCAACTTTTGCATGAGTCCAGAGCAAACATGAATTTCACTTTTAAGAATTACGTGTTTTATGACAACAGCTCCCAAAGGGTGGTCTCATGTGACCCCAACAGGGTCCCTGAGACCTTCTCAGGGGATCCTCAAGTTCAAACTATTTTAATAACAATACTAAAATATGTTTCCCTTTTTTATTCTCATTTTCAAGAAGGTACATGGCATGTAATATCACAATATATTAGATTCAGAAACAGAGCAGAATCTCTCTTCTAAGTCAGGCGTCAAAGATTTTTTTTTTTTTAAGTGAAGCAATTCCCTGTTATTTTGTTTTGGAAAATGTAATTATTTTATATAAAAACATTCATATGTTAACATAATGTGATTATTATTATTACTTTGAAAATGAATTAACAAAGTTTTTTAAAGTTCTCAACATTAGCTGCTACACAGATGATATATCAGTAGATAGAATATTATCAACCTATATTAAAGCCTTTTGTACTCCTTTATCATTTTTAAAACATACAGGGATTTTGAGACTAAAATATTTTAGAACTGCAGTTTTAAGTTAAAGGTATTTCCTTTTTTGGATTTAATCTCCAGGTTGGGCATCCTAGGAATCTAGGACAACCTGCTTCGGGTTTGCTACATGAGGGAAGTTTTTTTGGAATTGAGAAGCGTGGTAGTTAATTTCCCCCTCTTTTTATTTGCAGGATTCTAAAAGATTTGAAGGCATTGACATTGACTTCAAAGAGCTTGCTTATGCTGTTCAGAAAACTCCAAATGTAGTGGAAGCCACCAACAAATCAGGTCTTTATGAAAAACTGGAAGATATACAGAGCAGGTGATGATTTACCTCCTGTCCCCTTTGTAACACAGAAGCCAACAGTTCCTCCTGCTACCCCATCCCTGAGTTGGAGATCTTTGTTTAATTGCCTGAGTATGTGTGTCTGGTGTGTGTACCTTGACTTGCTGTGTGTTTGAGTATTAAGGATCTTGTTAGAAGAGTGTTTATTCTGATGGATATGTGTAGTTGTATATCTGCAAATAGCCATATATATGTCTTACACTGATTTCCATATATATTCCATATGTGACACATGTTTGCATTTAGGTAATACATCTGTGCCTGTGGGTTCAGGCAAACTTACTTGCAAAACTATCTGTGCTTTCAGATTACACCTGTGTGAGAAGGCCCTGGCAGAGTACCTGGATACCAAAAGGCTTGCCTTCCCCAGATTCTACTTTCTCTCGTCTTCTGATCTGTTAGATATCCTTTCCAATGGCACAGTTCCACAACAGGTAAGCTTGGAGGAGGGGAGGGGGAAAGTTTAGAAATGTCCAGAAAGACTGAGGAGTTCCCAGCAGGAGAGTTTCAGGTCCCCATTATGCCTCTTCTCGCTGACAGTGGGCCTGCTTCAGCTCAGCGTTGCCATCAGCAAGCATCGTGCCTCACCCTATACTTTCCTTCATTTCCACCATTACTGCTTCTCAGGATTCACTCCTGTCCACCAGTGACCATTACTCCCTGAGGTAGAATTGGAGAAACTTTGAGGTGAAAGGGTACACCTTTACAGAGAATGCCTTTGATCTGATTCTAATGAGAGATCCAGTAAAAAGCAGTTAAAAATTATGCTTACAATTTCCATGAGGAAGTGAGATTGGAAGCTATTAACTGGATATCAGGTGGTGTCATGAAAAGAGCACATATGTTTTGTTACAGACAATTAGAAACCAGAGACATCCTGCAGGGAAGGAGGAGGGAGAGGGATCAGAGGGAGGGAGGGGGGAGCACAGGGGACTGAGGTGAGGGTACACGGGTGCCTTGGTGAAGGAAATTCTATGGGGACTACACCTGAGGGGGAGGGAAAGCAAACATTGTTTAGACATGAACAATGATGGTAAAAATATATAAATATTTTTTTTTTAAAAAGAGCACATATGAGGAGTCCAAGGCTTGGTGCTCTGTTGTAACCACTTATTAGCCACATAGACGTGGGCATATCTCTTCTTTGTGACAAGCTTTCATCTATAAAATAAGTCTTGGTATTTGGATCAATAGACTGTAGTTCTCAACATATGGATGTATCAGAATTACATGGATTCCTAGACCCACCCCAGTTATTTTTCAGATTTAAGATTTCAGAGTTTCAGGGTCTATAGTTCTGAGTGGGGCTAAAGAATTTGCATTTTAAGGATTTAGCATTTGATGGTGCTGGTCTTCACCATCATTTCCCCTTTCCAATCTGTTCCCATCTGTAGAGTCTAAATCTCAAAATGAGTGATAGGAGGGAAGGCTGATGTCTCTACTCTATGCTCTATGGTCCTTTAGTTTTCCTCCCTTCTCACCCTAAGAAGAGGTCAAGATTTGTTTGCAGTTTCCTTATTTTCCTCCAGACTGATGATATAGAGTCAAAGTACTTATTCAGAAGTTACTTGAATGAGATCTTTTCCTCCTTTGGTGTGATTTTATTATTCAGTTGAAGTATAGTTAGGTTCATTTATTTCTCTTTGCTTTCAGGCTTGTGCTTTTCTCCAACCTTTTTTATTTGATTGCTTGAATATATAGAATTTTAAAAGCCAACTATACAAAAAAGATATGTAGACTCAGAGAAATGTCATTCCTTCCCCTATTTTCTCTTCTCCCTGTGAGCAACCAATGGCATTAGTTTCTGGTTCACCTTTCCTATTTTGACTTTGCAAAAATAAGTAGATTTACATTTACATTTGTATACATATATTGTTTAACTTCTGTTTCTTACACAAAACATAGCATGCGCTATATAAACTTATTTGCAGTTTGTATTACTTAAAGTTTGTATAACTAAGTTTTTTACTTAGTTGTAAAACCTAGTAACCACTGCTTATCAATTCAAAGATCTGTCCCTCATTATATCACATCTATCTCATATTCCATGGACTAATCTCTAATAGTTTGGTAATTGGATGCCTATAATCACTTTGAAATGTGTGGTATTAAAGTTCTATCGTCCTGTATACTGCCAGAAGGGAGATAACTGGGTCAAAGGGTAAAAGCATACGTAGTCTTGTTAGACATTGACATAGTCCCTCCATAGGATTTATGCCTTTATAACACCACCACCAATGGATGAGAGCCTTTCCAACAGAGCCAAGAGATGACATCCATGCATAGATTTTATCTTTGTCATTAAGTTGTTTAAGTAATTCTTCCTCTCCCCTTAGCCCCAGAGAGAAATGGGAAATGTCCCAATTCCTTCTATATCTGTGTCTTTCGTTTTCATAGATGACTGATAGAATGGTCATGTTTGGAATTCATTGGTGACAACCTTCCCCTCAAATCCCTGTAGACATTGCCCTGCTATTTGTTGTTACAGAGAAGTCCTCTAAGCCCTACCTGTTTTTTTTTTTTTTTGTTGTTGTTGTTGTTGTTTTTTTAACCTTCCTAAGTAGTCTCATTGCTTTCTATCTGGATCTCTGTAGAGATAAAATTTTAATTAATTTTTTAGAAAATTTGTATTTATTTAGATACTAGTTTTATTTTGTTAATTTTTTCAATACATGATGACTTTTTTTTCCTGTTTGAAAACCAGGGCTTTCAGTATCTTTAAAAAGGTTTGGTTCAACATGCTTTTCAATAGTATTTCAATTCAATTTATCTGAGTGTTTTCCCTTCAGGTTTATCATATTTCATAAGTCAAGATTCTATTTTCTCTATGTGATATACTATGCCTTTATATATTCATACATATTTTTATATATGCAAACATATTCCTACATATTTTTATCTCTTAACCTAGTTCTCTGTCATTCTTCAATAGTTTCTCAAGAGTCTCCACCATATTTATTTTGTGTTAATGTTAGTATGGCTAATACCATTACAAACTGTGCTGTGTCATTTGTTGGTCTCTTTGCTTTTTTGATTCTCTGCTTCTACCAGTTATCTTTCACCCAACATTTTATGGTTTATTTTTATTCCATTTAATTAAAAACAATACAAGGTAATGTTATTCATAATTACTTCTGTTTCTTTTATTGAAGCTTCTCATGCACACACACCATATATATATATATATATATATACACATATGTATATGTATATATATACACATGTATATATATGTATATATGCACACATGTGTATATATATACACATATATATATGTGGGGGAGAGAGAGAGAGAGTCTTGTTTTCTCCTTCTTTTAAGTTGAAGGATAATTTCACAAGTCCTGTGCTGGATTTTTTTTTTGAAAGATTTATTTATGCACACAAGAACTGGGGTGTAGGCCAGAGGTGCAGGTGGTGAGAGGATTCACCAGAGAGAGTAGGAAGCAGAACAGGCAGATGTACTGAAATACACTGCTGAGGGGAGCAGTGGGAGAGACAGGAGAGGTCCGCTGTACCATGTGGGTTGCTCCCTGGCTGGCTGGGGATCAAACTCGTGCTATAGTGGCTGGCAGTAGCTGGATAGCACTGTCTTTAACCCCTGCACCACCAGGGTTTATTTTTTAATTCACTATTTGTTTCTGGGTAAAGAAAAGTCCATCCCATTAAGATATTTCTTCCAAAATCACCATAGGTGGGGTTTCCTTGAATACTTTCACAATTTACCCAATTACTCTTAGAATTTTTCCTTCCATCTGATAAACCAGAGAACTGGTTGTTGTAAAGTAAGGATTACAAGTCAGGATACAACAGTCTGAAGTCTCTTGTACTTCAAAAAGCTCTACTGGAGGAAAGCTTTCTGTTTACTGTTTCTACTTCTACCTACACTTCCCTTGCCTCAGGACCACAGTGTTGCTCTGTCTAGCATCCTTCCTGGAGATACTCCCTGGGGCATCTTTGTAAAGGGCCACTATATATGAACCACCATGCTTGAGAGAAGCCCTGGCATGTCCAGACTTTCTCCTTGGTGTAAGCATGCCTGTCCTTCCTATGGATCAATTGGATATGGGTCTGCTGCACCAAAGCATTTCCAACAACTGGGCAACTTCTTCCATAGATCACTGTCACCACTACCTTTGACCCTTCACATTCAGATGAGTTAACATTTTTCTGCAGACTACCCACTACCTATCTACTTCTGCACAATGGTGTTTTTCTTAGGAAGAGAATTTACTAGTTAACCGTCATTTCTGCCCTCCAATCTTCCCATCTGTAGAAGATCAAACAGAAATTAATCAAACTTGTGTGGCTTCAATAGATTGTCACAAGAGTGATTCTAGTCACAAGAGTGATTAGTGATTCTCACTAGTTTTATATTACTTTGGACCTTTGTATCCAATACAGTTGGTCTCTGTCTTCCCATAACCACAGACTTTCTTCTAAATCTTTGATATTCTCAACTCTAATGGTTGTCACATGGTAGGTCTCTGAACAATACTAAGTAACTGCCTATACATGATCTCTAATCCTTTGGGCATGATTTCCTTCATAGGTTCAACGCCACCTTTCCAAACTCTTTGACAATATGGCCAAGATGCAATTCCAGATAGATGTCCATGAGAAACCAACCAAGATAAGTCTTGGCATGTATAGCAAGGAAGAAGAGTATGTGGCCTTCAGTGAGCCCTGTGACTGCAGTGGACAGGTAATAAAATTCTTTTATCCTCCTTACACTTTTTTTTTCTCTCAAGTGTCTGCATTTATATATGGTCAGCATCAGCCTCCAGGGTGGCCTTCTTGACCTTGGGCCAGAGCTGTTGTCTGTGCCCTGGGACTGTCAACTTCCCTTGATTTGATTGAAACAATATTACAGCAGCTACTAATCCCTGCTCTTCTCTCTCTGAAAGGGACACATGTCAACATTCATATCTCTTCTTTAACCAAAGACCTCTGCAGAAGGGAATAAAATGCACATAAACAATTTTTTGAGTCAACAAGGAAGGGATTTTGAAATCATGAGCAGCACCAGGAGACTTTAACATGATAATCCCTGAAGCACCCTACAGGGAAATCTGGAACACTGACACCTTCCCTGAGAGAAAATGCCCTCTGCAATTCTCCACTTTCCTGAGATATCATTTCTCTGTAGAAATACAATTCAGTGTCACTTCCTCCCACCGCCCTACTGCTTAGAGAGTCAATCATTACCCTGCTTTAAGAACTACTGCCTCCAAATCTCCCATGTACAATTCAAGAAACACAAAACACAGGAAGATTCTTTCCTTAAATCTCCTTCTCATCCTTTAGCATCACCACTAAATCCTTTTTTTAAAATATTTATTTATTTATTTATTTATACAAGCACTGGGTACAGTCAGAAGCGTGGGAGGGTGAGAGGATTCACCAGAGCCAGAACAGGGAACAGAACAGGCAGATTGACTGAAATACACTGCTGAGGGGAGTAGCCCGTCGTGGCGGGAGAGGTCTGTGCGCCATGTGGGACTCTCGCCGGTAGCCAGGGATGGAACCAGCACTGCAGAGGCTGCAGGCAACTTTGCAGCCCAGTGCTCAACCACTGCGCCACCAGGGCAGGCCCATCACCACTAAATTCTAGGCCTTCTTTGTTTGTTATCCCAAATGATGTAACAAAGCATTGTCCCTGGGAGTTATAATATAGCCCCAAATAAGGCCTGGAGAGGAGATTTTTTTACTGGGTTCCACCTTTATCCACATATGTCTTGCAAAATATTTCTAGTACCAGGAAAAAATCAGATATTCTCAGTTTTATTCTCAAAGTGGACAGGTCATGGGAATCCACTGAACTAATATAATATTTACAGCAAACACAATCCAGATGAAGACTTCCTCATATGAACTCTAGATAGCAGCCCCTACAACTTCTTAACCCCCTACTCTGTTTTGGATATTACAAATGGACACCTTAACCTGTTGTAATTAAGTCTAGTTCTCACCTACCAACATCCTGGTTACACACAAAAGAGCATTTCTTTGTGCCTTCAGGCAGACTGGAGGTTATGCACCATGTCTGGCTTCCATTCTGTCCACTCCCTCAGGTTGAGTAGGAGAAAACCGTGCAGTATTGATCATGGCTTCTTCAGGATTCAGTGACTAACAGAGCTCTACTTGCAGGTAGAAATGTGGTTGAACCATGTGCTTGCTCACATGAAGGCCACTGTGAGGCATGAGATGACAGAAGGTGTAACTGCCTATGAAGAAAAACCGAGGGAGCAGTGGCTCTTTGACTATCCAGCTCAGGTATTCTCCTAACTGGGACTTTGTGGGCTCCCATTCTCTACTAGTCTCTGTTCCTCAGGGTCCTATGCTAACCTCAATTCCTGTCAGATGTCAGACTCACTATGTGCTTCACAGACAAAAATCAGAATGAGGGAGCAGGGAAATAGTCAGCATGATCTATTTCAACCATTACCTTGGAGAATCCAGAATTGTCCATTTTTACCCTCACCTGCTACAATGGGAGGAAAAGTATACAATTCAACTTATCTAACTACCCCACTTCATATCCATCATGCTTTTTATGGAACACAGTGGCATCAACAGGGAATAAAACTAGGTAATTCCATCCTGTTTGAGTTTACAGACTGGTATAAAAGTCAGTCACTTACAGAAACTTCTCCAAAGAGGAAATGCAAATGCCCAACAGGCACATGAAAAAATGTTCAACATCACTTGTAATCAGGGAAATGCAAATCAAAACTACAATGAGATACCACCTTACACCAGTGAGAATGGCACATATTAAAAAAAACTAGCAACAACAAATGTTGGCGAGGTTGTGGAGAAAAAGGAACTCTCCTGCACTGCTGGTGGGAGTGCAAACTGGTCCAACCACTATGGAGAGCTGTGTGGAGATTTCTTGAGCTACTAAACATAAAGCTTCCATACGATCCAGCAATTCCACTCCTAGGGAGTGGGATCATGCTCAGCGAAATAAGTCAGAAAGAAAAAGAAAAATACCGGATAGTCTCACTCATAGCAGAAATTTAGAAAACCTAAATAAGGGACCAGGGAAAAGACTAATTAATATAAAGTAAAAATCAAAATCAACAAGAAACTATAAACTAGAGACATACTAAGGTGGGGGTAGGGGGACGGGGAGAGGAAGGATTAGGGTCAAAATAAAGGGGAGTGCAATTGTATGGGGAATATAACCAAAATGAAAATGCATACATTGTGCTAAAATGAAAAAAATAAATAAATAAATAAAATAGATCATATATATGTACTTCACTTACAATAGTGTATGCCATACAGAAATCATGTAATAAATGTTGATATTATTGCTGTCAAAAAAAAAAAGAAGTCAGTCACTTACAAATGGAAATCATGTGATAATAAAGAAGCTTCAGGGTGCTCTGGGAGCATAAGTAGTTAGTGGGCTTGGGGATCACCTCCCTGAGGGTCTGATATTTAAGCTGAGATTTGAAATAGGGGCTATAAATCAAAGTTTGAGGAAAGGAGTTACAAGGCATTGTGTAGAGCATGGACAGAAGTTCAGAAGCAAGGCAGATATAAGTGTTGGAGGAACTGAGTATGGTGAAAGCAAGAGTAAGGAAAAGAGGGAGCAAGAGACACCAAATGGATTCAGGAGGGGAAACCTGGATCTTACAGACCATGTTATGGAGTCCAGCTTGATTCTAGGATATATATATTCTTTTGCAAGGTTTATAGAAGGTAATAAGTGAAAGGAGAATAACCATAATCTTTTAAAAATGACTTAGGGTGCAATGTACATTCCTCTGTTCCTTTGTTAATAGCATAATACTAGTGTTGGTATAACTGGGAGCTGTAGAAAACTGGTGGTAATTCAAACCTAGGAGTAGATAATATTGCTCTTGGGAAATATGTGGACTGAGATGAGCATGTAGAACAAACTGTTGAGCATCACTCAAAGTCTGAGTCAGTGAGGAAGAGCCAGTAAAGCAGAATGAGAAATTGTAGCTTTTTAGATGGGAGGAAAATAGGGAGATGATAATCATGGGAACCAAAAAATAAATAAATGAACTATAGATAGAGGGTGAGTGGCCAAAAATGTCATGCACCTCTAAGAGATTAAGTCAAATAAAGAGGCTGAGGGAAATCCATGTACACTATGAGGCAATATAGCAGAAAAGAGGGCACATTGCAGGGGGTGAGAAATGAGAAGGTGGGAAAATGTTGATAGTGAGTGTAGACAGGCAATCAGAAAAGAAGGGAAATAAGCCAGTACTACACAATGCAAGAGTTGTGTGGTGGTGTTGTTGTTTTTTAAAGATTTATTTATTTGTTTGTTTGTTTGTTTATGCAAGCACTGGGTACAGTCAGAAGTGTGGGAGGGTGAGAGAATTCACCAGAGCCAGAGAAGGGAACAGAACAGACAGACTGACGAAATACACTGCTGAGTGGGGAGCAGCAGGAGTGGCAGGAGAGGTCTACATACCATGTGGGACCCTTGCCGGCAGCCGGGGATCGAACTGGCGCTGCAGAGGCTGCGGACAGCTTCGCAGCCTAGCACTCAACTGCTGCGCCACCAGGGGAGGCTCTGTTGTTGTGTTTTAACAGTTGGCTTATCATATTTAAACCATCCCAGCAAGATCACAATGCAAGAATTTCTTTAACAAAATCCAGTATATGTAAATCCATAGGCAAAAATGGAAGAGTGAAGGAATGGTACATTTTACTACAACAAGATTTTCTATTCACATGGGAGTCATTCCCATCCTACTTTATCTAAATCAGAAATTTGAGGCAAGAAATTTTGTTGCCTTCTGCTTGCAACAGATATCATATAGTGCAGTGTATTTGAAGCCACCATGAATAAACAAAATTATGCCTTTTCCACATTATATTTCTCTGCAAACAGAAAATAATATTTATTTGGAATCTCTGAAAAACACAAATCATATAGACCACATTGAGGTATAGTGCTATATTCAACTTGGCCATCAAGAGTAAGCATGTCACATTAGACGTTTTAAGAAATTAAAAAAATGAGGGTACTGTGGGTAAGTGAAAATATGCCACACGTGATCAGCAGTGACTCACTAAACTAGATTGCTAGACACTCAGAAGTTCCAGAAAAGAGCAAAGATTGAGTGTCATTGAAATGTTCACTCAGCATATTATTATCCTCCCAAGCACAAGAAAGAGGTTACCCTTAAGAAGTAAAAATGGAATGAGCAGTGTGGCAACTTCTAGAAGTCACCAATATTGAAAATAGTAAGCTGCTGATTGTCCTCAACCAAATGATAGATTTTTCAGGAGCAGAAAGTTCTTTTCCCACTTGTGTTTTAACCACCTCACATCTCTAAGGATTTAGAAGCATGTAGCTCACTTACTCAGTGTTGGTGGAAGAGGGAGGGAAGGGATGTAGGTCATCTGCACAATTAAATTTTGAGCCCTTGCTGTAGGATGAGTGGGCTGGTTTTAGAGACAATCCAAGTGACAACTTTACTGAGTAACTTTTGTTGTCACAGGTGGCCCTGACCTGCACTCAGATCTGGTGGACGACAGAGGTGGGCATTGCGTTTGCCAGATTGGAAGAAGGTTATGAAAATGCCATGAAGGACTATTACAAGAAGCAGGTGGCCCAGCTCAAAAGCCTCATCACCATGCTGATTGGTCAACTCTCCAAGGGTGACCGGCAGAAGATCATGACCATATGCACCATTGATGTGCATGCCCGGGATGTGGTAGCCAAGATGATTGCTCAGAAGGTAGGTTCTAAACATGTAGGAATGTCCCTGTTTGTGAAGAGCAACACATGAATATTGGGGTTAAAGAGAGTCTTACAGATGGCCAAAACACTGGAGTCCCAGATTCTGTACTGGCTTGAGAGCTGGGAAGGATCATGGTGGCTGCTGTCACCTTTTAAAATTCCCAAGAAATATGATAAAAATATGAATATGATAAACTGTATAATCAAAGCATATCATGCTTTCTATGTTGTGGTAAGCAGAGTGGGCCTGTGCTTTGGACTGGCAGATAAGCCCCAAGTTATCCGAAGTCCTGTGTATCCTGTGGTCAAGTTGAACACTGGATTTACACACATACTCTGCTACTCTCTCTTCAGGTAGATAATGCCCAGGCCTTCCTCTGGTTGTCCCAGCTGCGTCATCGTTGGGATGATGAGGCCAAACACTGCTTTGCCAACATCTGTGATGCCCAATTTCTGTATTCCTATGAATACCTGGGAAATACTCCTCGTCTGGTGATAACACCTTTGACTGATAGGTGAGTGCTGGTGTCAGAAAAACCCCATTGCTGACTGGTTCAGTTCTTCTGATGGCCATCCAGGGTCAAGGTCGCTGTCACTTGCTATTTGTCCAGAAAGCTGAAGGGGGAGGGCCTGGCTTAACACAACAGATATAAGGTAAAACTGAAAGGATCTAGGTTAGATTCCTTACCAGAACAAATCCCAGAGCAAACCAATGAACCATGAGTTTTTGAGGAGTTACTAGGCAGTCGTACATACTTAGATTCTAACACCAACACATACCAGTTCTTTGACCATGAAAAATTTAACCTAATTCTCAGTTTCTTCATCTGTGAAATAGAAATAGAAACTCATACCTTGCATGAGTTATGTGAAGATAAAATGTTTATAAGTTTTATGCAAATTAAGTGCTCACTAACTGATCTTTTGTGCTTTTTTCTTATCATTTTTTATTACTTATTCAAGCACCTTTTACTCTTGGAACACAGAATGATTAAAAACAGTGTAGTTCCTATCATTAAAAAGCTTACAATTTTTTTAGGGAGCTATATTCTCTCCCATTCATATTAATTTATTCATGAATGAGTTGACACCAGACTCTGAACTAGTCCCTGGGAATATAAACATTTCCTGCCCTTCAACTCCAATTCTAGTGAGAGAAAGAAGACATATGTAGATAAAAATTTAAAAAGCACAAGGGGAAAAGTGCAAGGCCACAATGTAAAATAGGACACAAAGCCATATGCTCCAAACTTCAAGCAAGTGACTCAGCAGTAAGGCCTCTGAACACAGAGGGTCCCACCAAGGTTGAGTAGAAAAGCAGAGGGAAGGCTTCAGGGAAGACATGGTGTCTGATCCAAACTTGAAGGATGTTAGTAGGTTGTAGGATGGTTTTCAAGGTGTCCATGAAATTGTACACAAGTCTGCATGTATGTTATGTTTTCTATTGAGGGGCATATAATAATTGTTAAAATGGCTTAGGATTCCCAAAAGCTAAAGAACTACTGATAAATATTCTCGAAAATGAAATATTATATGCAAAGTCATGTAAATTGGAAAGTAAAATGAAATAGAAGACAAAAGAAGAGACAGTAGATTTTTTACTTTGGGGAGATTGTTGCTCATAAGGATGGAAGAATGGTCAGAACCAGACTATGAAGTATAAAGACTATATTCTTTACCCAATGAGTAGTGATAAACTATTGATAAATCTTTCATCAGAGGAGTATAATGGCAAAGACTATATTTTATGTTCTCATTGGATGAATAGGACCATCTGAAGTCCAAAGTAGTCGAAATGTCAACATCATCTGTAGAGTAAGACCTCATGATTCATCTCCCCCATGCTTTTTACTTCTTTAATTCATTTTCCTGCCTACTCTGAAAAGATCTTCCACCCAGGGCAAACCACCTCCCACTTACTCTTACACTTTTCTCTCTTTTTACATGACATCATGTAAAAATCACATCACTGTGTCCAGGTACACCCCCACCCCGCACTTAGATTAAGATTTGAGTTCCTCATAGGACCCAATCCTTCTGCCAACCATCCTGATGCCTGACACCCAGCACCCTAGTCACTCTGGCCTCCCTTTTGTGCTTTGATCCCTTTAAATTCATTCAAACTTATAGCCTTACACATATGTGCTTTCCTTTATTTAGAATGCCCTTCTCCATGCTCTCTGTTCTACTGTCACCTTCTATGCTTTCATTCTACTCTCAGTTCTGACTGAGAGGTCTTCTCTGGCTATTCTTTCTAAAAAAAACAACCACTGCCACCTCCCCCAACAGATCCCTCTGTTCATCTTCTTCTTAACATTTCCCACATTCAAAAATGACCTTTGGAATGTAAACTCTTTGTAATCAGGGAACTTTATGTGTTTCGTGTGTTGCTTTGTTCCTATATCATCAGGACCTAATAGACATTTAATTAATATCTGTTGAATGAATGAATGGTAGTTGAATATGCAAGACCCAGATTGTAAGAGTAAACAAGAAGGGGAAGTTGATGCAGAGGATTTTCCCTAGGACTCTGTGCCTTGACTCCTAAAGGCAAAGGGACAGCTACTGTCATCTGCTTTTAGTGGGGAGTGACCCTTCTCACTGCCCCAGCAAAGGACAAAGGCAAGTAACATCTTCTCCAAGGAAGGTGCAGATTTCTCTGCCATAGGTTTTACTTGGGTCAATCTCATGAGTTGAAAGGGCACATTCCCTATGGATTAAAGAAAATGTTTTCCCACCTCAAGCTTCATTTAGAGTAGACCCTCACCTGTGCCTTTCTCTTTGTAGTGATTCTCAACAAGGTCCCTAACTAAAGAGGGAGAAAATCTACCACCAAATTCCCTTTTTTAATAAGTCTTCTGCCTTCTTGGAAAATGAGCTAATAGTTCAGGACCTGATGTGAACTTGGAATGTAATAATGAAACTATTATAAAATCAAGCAATTTGTTTAGTGTCTGTCTTCCACTCTAGATTCTATGTCCCATGATAACATTGACTGGGTTTACTCACTGCTCTACCCCCAGGACCAAGGACCATGTCTGGTATATAATAGGCCCTCAAGAAATACTCCTTGAATGCATGCAATGAAGTGATTTCTGAGAGTATGGATATGTGCCCAGCCTCCTCATACCCTCATGCCCATTCAGAATATTTCCTTCCTTTCCATTGACATATCAGACATTATCATTCCAACTGATAAAATATATAAGATTTTCTTTTCCTGGGGTCTTCACATCTGCCCAGGAGTTGAAGAAGATAATTACCTCTTTTGGATGTAGAGGTCTCTAGCATACAAATGCTGAATGTCTTATAGAGGGAAAGGGTAAAGTTTTGACAATGAATTGTTTCTAAGACAGGAATTTATCACCTCTCCTATGAAATGATGCAAATAAGAATTTGAAAGGAAGATTTGCTGAAAATAATGGTGAATACTATGTAGACCTTGACCTTGTTTTGCACATTAGATGCTTCACTGACAAAGTAGTATGTAGTTGAATATTTATATGGCAAATTCCATTTTCTCATTGACTTCCATTATTATCTCAAGAAATGTTTTGCCCTGAAAAAAAAATTGGCCTCAACGCAGAAAATCACATTATAAAGAGCATTCAGCTTTTGCTGCTGTGTAGCTTAAGTACATTTAATTCTCTCCTGCCAGTGGAATTAATCAAATGGACAATTGATCCGTACAACCTTTGCACATTCATTAAAAGCACACCCGCATTACAGTACATCTGACTGATTATGCCTATTTCTTTGGAATTTCCCACTGCCTGGATGGGACTTGAATATATAAGTAGAGACAATGGTTCAGCCATTGTCACAGGACTTTGGCACAACAGCGAGTTGAAGAACTAAATGGAAATGCTTTTTCAGGCTGAACAAAGCAATTCTTTTAAGTTGTTTCTTAACCTTTGATGGTCTCCTTTCCCTGTACTCCCCTTCCCTCACCTTCATACACAAATGCCCCTTTCAGCCCTGTGCTAAGTACTATTTTAATCAACTGCTTATCAATTTGGAGTACCTCTTAATTTCTCAGGAACTACTGCAAGTAGGTGAGATATAATTGATGCAAGAGTCTTTGAAGGTGATTTGCTGGACAAGGACATAACTACCATGAGTCGTACACTTTCTTTTTAAGGTTTTATCTGATAGTTTAATTAGAAAACTTTGCAATCTGCTAAAAAAAAAACTAAAAGCCACCCAGATTTAACCATTATCATATGTAGTCTATTTTCATCTACATGTAGATTTTGAAAAATGAAATTGCAATAATATGCTGTGTATCATAGCTTCCTCGCCAGCATTAAGCATTATTGTTAAAAATTACTAATTTTGTAAGAAAATGGTATCTTATTTGGATTTGGATGGCCAGATGCTTGAGCATTTTTATGTGTCTATTGGCTATTACATTTTCTTCTCCTGTGAATTGTTACTATCATTGCCCATTTTATTACTTTTTTGTTTAGAAAGTTCCTGCCCATTTCAAGATCAGTCTAGTATATCCCTGTGTTTTACTATAATTTTATTTTATTTTTTCTTTAACCTTTTTTATTCCTTTATTAAAATTTTTTTGACTGAGTAAAGTGAATGTTTTTGGTTATAAGTGATAAAAATCTAATTCAAACTAATTTAAACAGAAATAGGACATCTATTCTCACATCCCTGGCAGATGAGTCCAGCTGCATTGTAACCAGCTCTTTGAGCTAAACAGAGTGATATCAAGACTTGAGCTCTCTCTCATAGCATTACTTTGCTTTCTTCTGAGTATTGAATTCTTGCTTGCATAGATTTTCTTTGCATGGATGGAAAGATGGTCTCCATGCCCATGTCTTTATGACTACTGACCCAAGAGGAAGAGACACTTCTCTTTCCTGGGCCCATATGTCAGATTCCTCAAAGGGATTCTGATTGATCCTGTTTTGATCACGTGGGTCACTGTGACCAATGAGATTGATTATTTTGCTCAACCTAAGCCTTGTACCCACCCCTGAGAGAATAGGAAATGCTTTGATTGACACCACCACCAGAATACAAGTTACAGAGGGGACATGGCTTAACAAAGTGTGAAATCCTCACCAAGGAAAATCCACAGAAACATTTTCTTTGTTTTTAAGTAACCAATTGGTCCAAAGATTTTGTAGGAAATAATGGATCCTTTTCCTCATAAGTTCCTGATGTTTGCTCTGCCATATTCAGTTGCCATGAGGCATAAAACTGCCTCAAATATATATGTTCTGTTTCATTAGTATTTCACTTTATCTATATTCTATACTATTTAAGGATTGTAGCTATATAAAGACCTGTAAGATTTTTTAAGTAAAAGTCTGTATCATCTATCTTCCATTTCTTCTTTCAAATAAGCTTTAATCATTTTGTCAGGTTCTAAATTAGAAACAGTTAAGATTTTGATTGGTAAACCTTAAGACTTTCAACTTACTTTTGAAGAATAGCCATCTTCATATGTGCTATATTTTTATTTACTCATATCTTCAAATTATGTGCCTATGAAAGG